TGAACTAGCAATGACCATTCACAAACTTCTCTCAAACGCTACCATCGTTATGCTTGGAATCAAGCTCCCATTATGACACCACGAAGTTTAACCCATGGGGTTTACCACTTTCTTAAAGCCAAAATTTCAAAATTCACACTTACTGATTAACAATAAACCGATAGGCTTTAAATTTTTAGAAAAGATAATTGTTATCGCTAAATTTTATATATCTGCAAACGTTTATACTGAAGTTGGAAAATACCTCTGACATGAAAATTGAAATATAATTTCTCTAATTATGTAGCTGAACCTCATAATGGATAGTCGGGTCACAAAATTTAACTAGAATACTATTATCATACAAAACTAATGATGATGCCAAAAATGGTAAGCTATCGTAAGAAATTCAATACAACTGATTTCCACTATGGTCTAGAGTGTGTTATAGTTAGAAACTTTGATAAGGAGAGTTTCAGAAATTTGAATTTAGGCTGAAGTGCTAATTTGCCAAGAATAAAAAAGTCGGATAATGTTTCATTTTCAAGGGAAATCAAAGTAGATATAAGCATATATTTTCAAACCGTTGGCTTGTGGATAGCTCAATCAACTTGGTCAAATGTAACGAAAATGGGTGGACTACTTATACTTACATACCAAATCTATTATCAAAACATGTTCTAATTTAAAGTAAATATATAAATAATAAATTATTGCACCATTAAATGGGCTGCTTCAAATCATTTATGATTCGTATGTTGGCACGAGGAAATTACATACTCTCATGGATTTTAACTTTCAACTTCAAAAATCAGATTTAAAATTTATTTATTTTAAAAAATCAGGTCATAATTTTAATAATAATATTTTATTAAATCAATCACTATACTCTCTCTCTCTCTCTCTCTCTCTCTCTACATACAAAATGACTCCTTCTCAATCAAGAAAGAGCTCTCAGTTAGTCAGGTCTCTCTCTCTCTCTACATACAAAATGACTCCTTCTCAATCAAGAAAGAGCTCTCAGTTAGTCAGGTTAGAGAGAGATGCTCTCAAGTCTAGTGAGAGAAAATCCCACTGGATTGCCTTGGCCCCTTGGTTCTTTATTTTGTTTGGTCTTGGTGGAAATTTAATTTAACATTATGTTCTTTTGTGGATTTTGCTTATATCTTAGTGAAATCTATGGTTTTTCTTTGGTTTTCTGGTGGAAGTTCGTGTTTCATGTACTTTATATCAGATTGCTTAAGTTAGGTTGCCTCATTTGCATTCAGAATTTGAAAAGTCCCTGTTCGTGGTACAACTTCAGGTTCTACTGTAGTGAAGCTGTATCTCTTGGTTCTGCTGATGAGTTTGGTAACCCACAGTTCAGTTTCTGTCTCTGACTGGGTTCATTGGTATTACCTGGTTCGTGCTCTCTGGTCTTCTTGGTTTCTTGGAGGTTGAGAGTGATTTCTGGTGTGGGTGGCCTGTGGCTCTAGGTTTCTGTAGTTTTCTATGTGGTTTGGTTGCTGCCTCTACTATTTTGCCAGTGTGCTTGTGTTCTTGGTTTCTGGACTGGTTTTTCAATTTGGTGGTTATCCAGTTTCCCTGTGATACGGTGACTATTCCCCGCTGAATCTCTATTTGTTGATTCCTGTTTCTGGTTTTAGGGTGCGATCTTACACTGCTCGCTTTCCTTCTGATGGTGTTTTTGGACTGTTTTGGTTTGTTCTTCCTGGAGGGTGTAAGTATTGTGTATTCATCTGTGGTTTGATCTAAAATTTCAAGTTTCAACTTGTGTTTCAATTTGAATTTTAGTCAAACCTTGGGTAATCCAATCGGTGCTGCCAGTTTTCTTGATCTTGGCATTTGGTATGCATAGATTTTTCAGTTACCATTTTGGGTAATTATTTAATGTTGTCCAAATTGGTCTTCTGACTTTTGGTTTCTTTGGCTGTGACCGTCTATGTCCTTCAGTTTTTTGTCTGTTGGAGGTTGTTTTTCCTATTTTTCTCCCAGGCACAGCTTGCACGTGATTCATCTCTACTAGGTCACGTTCTCCTCTCCGGGTTCTGAGCTGGAGGGCTCTGATCTTTTGCACGTAGTTTTGTGCCTTGTTCTTTGATTACGCCCAGAGAACGGTAGTTGTAGTGCAGCTTTAGGGTGTCGTATCCACAGGGAGATGGGAAATGCTTAAGGATTCCAAAAAGGGATGAGTTATCGTTTTCAATGTGTAGTGAGATTCAATGTCGAAATGTGAAATTAAAATCAATAATTTGAGGCAGTGAAGCGTCGAAATTCTCTCACTTGGATTGAATCATTCACATCAATTATTTCATTTTTATACCACAATTAGAGACTTTTATCATGGCACTCTAATCGGAAGATATATCCTGAAAACTAATTTAATTTACAAATGTAATCCTAGAATCTAGACTTATGACATATTCGCACAATTTTATTGGAACAAGATCAAAGATCGACTATATACATCAATCATAAGGCAGTAATCAATCCATCAA